GGTGTGTTTCTCTCCTCAATGACCTTCATAGATCCTAAATCCAAAATAATAAACTTACCTGTAAAGCATAGTTCCTGGAACATAGTACATATGTGGTCAATAAATCATCTACCGCCACCTACCTCCCCAGCCATACCTTTTATTCACACCTTCTGCAGGGCTTGTGTCATGGCTGTTGGCCATGCAGGTTCCTGCCTCACTAATTGTGTCCTCTCCACCCAAGTCCCCTTATCAAAGCCCTACGCTTCTTCCAGGCCTACCCTAAACCCTGCCCTCGAGGCCTGAATTCCTGCAGTACTTACTGGGTGTCCACTTAACACTGAACATGTGCTGCTTTTTAACTTCTTTAGGTGGATGGTTTGTCTCAGATTGGATGGCCTCCTCTTTGTATGCCTCTGCCCTAGTGAAGTACCTGGAACAGATGATCAGAGTGCACAGCTAACTACTTCTCCAGAGCCTGTGGGCCTCTGCACAGCATGGTAGCCTTTTTTTCCCACTGCTGTGGCTCTTCATGGGCTAAAACAGCCTTGTGCAAGTGTTGGCAGTGACTTTATTTGTACATTAGTAGAGGGGTGTGTGTGTTTGGGGGGTGGAGGAATGGATGGGAGTGAATAAAAAGGTCTGACTATAAATCTCTAAACTGTCTAAATTTTTTTTGCTTAATTATAGTCCTTTCTGATTCCTGGCATACTAATCCGCCTTTCTGAAGGTGCTTTGTGATTTTTCCCCTCTTCGTATCAATTTTATCTTCCTTGTGCCTGTGTTTTCATTGTAAGTCCTCTGAAACTCTCCCTGGAGGTAGCTGGGGTATGAGCAATTTCTAGGAAAGCCCTAGTGACAGAGCCAAATACAATATTCTTGATTTTACTTCTTTACTCTCTACCTCCTTGAGTACTGTTTTCCACTCAGATTAAATCTTACATTCAATGAAATAGATGAGATTTATTAATGGCTTTAAAGTTGTATCTCCAGAGTTAATCTTGGAGCCTTATAATCCTCTTCTACATTTTAAAGTCTGGACTGCAAGGAAATTTTCCAGGGGGAAAAAATGGTGGTTTGATAATTAAAATAATAAACTGAGCTCCCCCACGAGGGACTTACACTTGAATGCAGGGTTGATTCAGAGCCTTTCCCACCCACCCTTCTTTCCCATCTCCAAGGAAGAAGCATTTTGTTTTCCTTTCAAGGCCTCTCCGCGTGTGCCCCGATCTTATCCCTCGCATCTTCTTCAGTTACCCCCTTTTCCTGTATCTTTAGTTTCCTTCCTCCGTGGGCTGCTTGTTCTCTGACTGCGGGATCAAATCACTCCTATCCTAGAAAAACCTTGCCTTGACCCCAAATCCCCTGGAAACAACCCTTTCCTCTTCCTTTCTTAGCCAAGTATCTGGAGACACTGCCCACTTTTCCATTCAGTTATTTACTGTGTTGCAAACACTATGCCAGACATTGGGAATGGTGGTAGACAAGACACCGACTCTCCCCTTGCGGAGTTCAGCCTCCTGGCCAAGCCTCAGCACTTGTCAGGCCACAGGAGCTGCGCCAAGCTCTCTGAGGACTTCCTGGTCTTCAAATTCTGCAACTCTTCTCAGTCCTTCCCCCTCAGCAGCATGAGGCACTTTGGTGGTTAATAATGTCCTGAAACCTACTAGTTCACACTTAGAAATCATTCACCATCTTCAAGGCTCTGTGATGCAGAGAACAAGCATAGAATCTGCCTTTGAAAAGCTCACATGTCGAATATCTTGTATCCCAATGAACAGGCTTCCCCTAAGTCCAGCTTCATAGGGGAAATACTCATAAAGAGGCAAAAGATTTTGTTCATAAAACTCTCAATATGTCTACCATTGATCTCAATATACAAATTTAGATGCATTAATCAGTAAGCAAATACATGGTGAACGATGCCAGTACAGCGGGTCCTCAGATAACATCATTTCATTATAATGGTGAGAAGAAAGAAACTGTGCCTTGCTGGTGCCCCCGTCTTTGTGGGTTGTCTCCGGATCCTTCGGTTTCTTCCCACATCCCAAAGCTGTGCACAGAAGGTGAACTGGAGTGTCTACATTGCCTCAGTCTGAGTGAGTGTGGGTGTGTGAGTGTGCCCTGCATGAGCAGCCTGTCCAGGGTTTGGTGCCAGGATAGGCTCTGACCACCCAAGAGCATGAACTGAAATAAGCAGGTTGGAAAACAATTATCTTTCTTGTTTTTATTAATTGTTCTTACATGTCCGTATAGTTCACATTTACTTCCAAGTTTAATATTAGAAGTGTTTGGATCTTTATTTAGAGGTTTGGAAATGTTTTTGTGACCAGAAATATGCTGTAGGAACTTTTTTATTATATCAATTAGCCTATGGTAAATTGGTTTCATTATACTTTTCCCTTAAAAGTTGCCAAGAACCTATCAAAGACATTCAGTGAGGACTTGCTGTAAGAGGGTGATATCCTTTGAAAGCAAATTTAGTGCTGCAAATGTTCACCATTCCTAATTTTCTTTGCATACCAGCCCATCCAAATGTCCCCAGAATAAAAATTGTTTAGACATGTTCTTAATGAGCCAAAGACATAACAGTCCACAGAAATAGAAAAATATAAAGTATGGTTTATCGAAAAAACATTACTTTTTCTAAGATTCTGGGTAGAAGAATTGTTCATCCACATTTTGCTGGCCAATTGGCCCCCTCATCCCACCAGCACAGATTCTCTGCCCCCTGTCAAAGGCCCCTCTTCTTTCTGAGTCCCCAGAGGCTGTCTTCAGTGAGTTCCAGTTCCTTGCCAAGCAAGCTCCATGCTGGGGGACACCCTGAATCCTTGGGAGTGCTAGAGCTGTGTCTTTGGCAGAGTGAAGAAGAAGTCTTTGTATTTCATATCATGAAATAGGGTCAGGGGCTCCCAAAGCAGTGTTGCTTAGGCCCCAGCATCTTACACTAGTGTTAGTGAAACCAGTTCTTGTGGTTTTTATACTCTCTTACTTCAATATCAGTCTAGAATAGGGACCCAGTTAGCCTCAGTGCTTCTGCTTCTCTATAAGGCTGTTGTTCCTTGGTTAAATTACTGGCTCACATTGCATCTCACCCATTCCTCTGGTCACCCCGGTATGTCTGCATCCCAGAAACGGCAGGGTCCAGGCTCAAGCTGACACAGAGTTCCCCATGACACACAGATGCATGTTAAAGCCAGTCAAGTGGGCCAGATCTAGAAGCCTCTGGAGCCCAGAGACAGCAGATTCACTGATGAGTCACAGTTGAGGAGTGAGTGACTCCTGAGAGTTAGGGAAAGGAGCTCGCTGTGAAGGCGCTCACCAAGCTCTGACGTTGTAGCTGTCTGACACCTTATCAGTGTCACCTGGAGCTTTGCTAAAGGAACAACTTAATGAACACAAATCCTGCCACTCCCTCCTGGTTGCTCGTGCAGTGCGAAAAATGAGCCTTTTCATCAGTCAGGAGTGTGAGGTTTGCTAAGGACACTTTATTCCATCCCCTTAGGACAGGCCATAGCTCCTCTGCCAGGGCCACCTGCTAGTTTGTGTGAGTTAGAAAGAGGTGTCTCCTGCGCTTGATGACTCCAGCTGGGGATGGAAACACAGCTTGCACCACACATACCTCCCTCAGATTCTCCCGAGCAGACAGCTGTTAAGGCAAGAAGAAAGGTGCATTAGAGCCATCATGATACCTGCCTTTTACATATGAAGCCCAGAGAGAAGGAACTTGGCCGAGGTCACATGTGAGTCAGTGATAAGAGTAAAGCTCAGGTCTCCTGAAGCTCAGCCCCCATGACCATTTCCATGTGTGAGAAGCAGCAGCTTCGTGGCCCAATCAGAGGAGCCAGGGCTCCCTTCCCCAGGAAGCAGAACGGGTTGGAGGATTGACAGACTCAGACCCAGGGGTCCCTTCTCTCTCACCCAGCTTTCTTATTACACATGTCCTCTACCCAAGACAGGGAGGATCTCAGAACTCGGCGCTCACGAGCAGGTGATAAAAGATAAACACATAAATAGAGATGGATGGCTGAGTACTGATTTCTGCAGACCATTCTCCACGTCCCCAGCACACATGGAGCACTGCAGTTCTGGTCTACCTAGAACAGTGCTGCTCAAACTCTGCTGTGCACCAGAATCAAAAACATAGATAGTTGGCCCTACCCCTCAGAGGTGGGCCTGAGGATTCACGTATCTAACTAAAGTTCCAGGTTATGCTGGTGCGGGTGGTCTGGGGACCACACTGAAAACCACTGGGGTAGAGAAATAGACAACCCATCCTTTCCTCCCTCACCTTCATTTGCTTTCTGCTTCCTCCTCCTCCCCCTCCTTGGCCTTCTTCCCATCTTCCAAAGCATGATGGAATGAGCCAGGCTCTGCTGGGGACCTGGATTCCAGTTCCAGCTCTATCACTAAATATGTGACCTGGGCAAGTCACTCCCCCTCTTTAGATCCAAGGAGAGACAACCACCGAGAATGTGAAATCCCCCCACTGCCAGCTCCTTCCCTGCCAGGACCGTAGGGACCAGGGTTTGTCTCTGTATCCCCAGATCCTCAGCGCAGTGCGTGCTTGAAGAGAGGCTGGTGAATAAACCTGAAGGCCGCTGAGCTTCCAGCTGAGACGGAGATTCTCACCTCTTCTTCCGTCCACTTCCCCCTCTCCAACTGAACATGATATTTAGGGTCTTTCTAGGACAGGAGGAAGTGAAGATGCTCCCACAGGGCAGGCGATTGCTAAGGAGAGCGAGCCTGGAACAGCCCCTGAGTTGGGGGAAGCGGGCCCCGGAGGGCAGATCCCCGACTCCCCGGGACGCCGGTGTGCGCCCCCAGGTGAGCCCCGGATCCAGGCCGGCGGTGAGGCTCGCGCCCACAGCAGCCGAAGCTCCAGCAAGGGGCGCCAGAGAGAAGGCCAAGGTGTCGCGTCCGGGGCGGGCGGGCGCCCTAGGGGCGTGGACACCGCCAAGGTAGCCGAGGGCCCGGGCCGGGAGGACGCAGGGAGAAAGCTGCGGCCGCTGCCCACCCGCTCGGACCGGACCTAGACCCAACCCACGCCCCCGGCCCGGACCGCGCCATGCGGGGCTCGAGGGTGGCTCTGGGGCTCTTCCTGGCTCTTCGCTCCGGTGAGGCCCCCTGCCCGGCGTGGGAGCGGGTGCGGGGGCCCTGGGGCTCTCCCGCGCCCCTGAGCTGGGGGCCCGGGGGCTGGGAACCCGCCGGGTCTCCCGGTTGAGGACGATACAGGGAACTAGCGCTGACGAGGGCATTGTGGGATGTCCGGAGAACTTCGTGGAGGAAGCGGCATTGAGCTGGATCTCCGGACGCGCCAAGGGGAGGCGCGTGGCGGGGAGAGCCTGGGGTGTCCGCAGGGCGGCGGGAGGGTGAACGCTCTTGATGGGCGTGGAAGCCAGAGGAGGGTTTGGGGGCCAGAGCGGCCCCACTTCTCCCAAGTCCCCTCGGGGAGGGAGACAAGTGTGTGTGTGGGGGGGGGGATGAGAGGAGAGGAGGAGCGAGATACCTCCCGGGACCCTCCAGGGCGCCCTGCAGGGTGCAGGGATGGAGAAAGGGGCGCAGACGGGGCCTCCGTGCGTCCCACCGCCCCTCCCACGGGAACCATCCGGCTCCCTCTGGGAGGACACAGAGGCCTCAGGGGGGCAGGAACTGGCCTAGTCACAGAGCCGCAGGGCCCCCAGCCCGCGCCCCAGGATGGCAGGGAGGGTGAGGGCAGCCGTCTGATACCCGAGAAACGCTCCTTTGTTTCTGGTAAAGGCCAGGCTCAGAGCCACTCATCTGCCCTGAACACCGGGACACACGGACCCACACAGCTCTGCCAGTGAGCCAGCCCTTCCCAGCCTGTGACACCTCTCTGGGCCTCAGTGCCTCCAGTGGGAGGGCTGTGCTGCTGCGTCCACAGTGGGGGCTGGGGATGCCCTGGGGAGCTGGGCCTCACTGTCCCCTACCCCCAGTGCTCAGTGGGATGGAGGTGCAGTGGTGCACCACCTCAGACCCGGAGCAGCAGAAATGCAGTGACATGAGCAGTGCCTTCCAGAGAGCCGGGATCCAGCCCTCCCTCCTGTGCATCCAGGGCACCTCAGCAGACCACTGTGTCCAGCTCATCGCGGTGAGTCCTCTCCCTTCCGCTCTGCCACCTCGGCCTGCCAGACAAGAGGGCTCTGACTCAGGAGGGAGCACACAACAGCCTCATTCACAAGGAAAGGCACTGATGTCCCCCCTGCCAGGGTGGGGCGATAGGATCTCCTGAATTTCCCAAGCAACAAGGGCCAGCCTGTTTCCCGCCCAGGCCCAGGCCAGGCACTAGGAGGCTTCGGAGAGGCCCCTGCTCAGATGTCTGAGGGGCAGAGTTTTTCTTCTACTAGATCCCTGCTAGAGTGAGGACACTGCCCACCCCACCAAGGGGAGCTCAGACAGCAGAATCCTCAGTGACCTGTAGTGATAGCTCACTGTGCCATGGAGTTTTCCAAAATGGGGCCCGTGTGGTTTCTGGGGAAGGAAGACCAGGGGACAGCAGTTCTGGGTAGGTGAGGGGCAGGAGATTTGCTAACCTGGCACCAGTGAGACTCAGACAGGACTTTAGTGGCAGGACAGGTATGGAGGGAAGCCTGGGGGCAGGCACAGAGGGACCTGGGTTTTCATTCCCGTTCAGCCTTTGATGTGCCCCCAAGACCTAATCCAGTCCCACACTGACTGAGGGCCTGGGTCAGGCTCCACTGTGAGGGTGCAAACCAACTCTGTTAACTATAATTCTACTCATCGATCCCATGACACACAGAGGATACTGCCACTTGTGTTTTAGAAGAAAAAAGACAGAACTGAAGAGGGCATGTATTTATGAGATTCAGTCTGCCTCTTAGAGAGAAAACCTGAGAAACAGGTTGGCAAGGCTGGGAAATGAGAGCGAAGGGGACAGTTTCTCTATGCACCATTTCGCACTGATTTTTTACTATGTACATCTATTATAAGTCCTATAAAATTAATATTTTTCAAATAACATAATTAGCAAAACAAGGTGAGCCCTTGGCCTAGGAGAGGTGTCACCTTGAGCCTGGTAAAGGGGGAGACCCATAGGCCCTGGTGGGGGAGGGGCCTACAAGGCTGAGCCAGGATGGTGTGAACCTCGGGGCTCTTCCTGGAGCCCTGGGTGGGTGTCCCTGAGCCCCTCCCCGAGTGAGATAGGGTGGGGTGAGGGCCAAGTGGGGGCTGACTCATGTGTTCCCAGCAGGCTCGGGAAGCTGATGCCATCACTCTGGATGGGGGAGCCATTTATGAGGCGGGGAAGGAGCATGGCCTGAAGCCCGTGGTGGGTGAAGTGTATGATCAAGGTCAGAGGGCCAAGTAGGAGGAGGAAGTAGTGGGGGACACAGGAAGCCCCTCAGCAGTGCGTCCTTGCTGGGCCTGGCCCAACCCTGAAGCCCTGGAGCTGATGAGTAGCCCTGTCCCCAGAGCAGTCCTGGAGTCCTGGCCACACAAACATTCAGAGGAGGCCCTAAATCTCTCTTGACACCCCCCATCCCCCGAGAGCAGGGGTGCCAGAGATACAAACGGCTGACCCGCATCTGTTCTTCCTCAAGGGGATCCCAACAGCCCCCTAACTTTCACCCACAAGCCCTTTCTGAGGGGCTGCCTCATGCCTGGTATAGTGTTGGGTGTGACTGCCTGGCTGCAGTGGATGAGGCGTCAGTAATGCCCAGCTCCCTCACACTTGGGTGGCATCTGTCAGAAGCAGCAGGAGTGGGGATGGGGCCAGGCAAGAGGTGATGACACACCAAACAAAAATCCCAGCTCTGCCCCTCCCTGTGACCTCCTGTGACCTTGGACAACCTCCACATCCTTGACTATAAAAGAGGATAGTGATCCCTGCGAATGTGTGAGCACCTGAGATGTGGCATGTGCTGGGCAATGTAAGTTCCTTTTACCCCATCCCTGTACCTCATGCCAGACACACCTCAGGCTCAGCCTACCCTTTGCACCTCTCCTACCACCTCCACTTGTCCAAGGCCTCCACTTGTCTCTGTCACAGCCCAGCTCAGTTATCACCTCCAAGGAGCTCCGCTGGGCCTTCCCGCCCTTGCAAAGGGCCTCTCTTTCCTGCTTTCCGGAGCACTGACTCACTCTGCTAAGGTCCTGCTCCCTTCAGTCTTGTTTTCTTTTTCTCATCATAGCAAGTCCCCTGAAGAGGCCCTGGTCCTCATCTTTGGTACCCAGCACAGTGTTGCTCTTGGTTACTTGTTGAATCAATGGCTGTCAGATGACATAGGACACAATCCAGCCCTGCAAGCCAGCCAAACTTTTCACTCGATGGCCAGAAACAGCCCTGCCTCTTTAATTCATTCAACACACTTATTAAGCACCTACTACATGCCAGTCATGAGCGTAGAGTAGTAAGCAAAAAAGAGCCTATTTCTGCCCTCAAAGACCAGGAGTCAGACAATAAACAAACAAACACCAAAAAAAAATATGTAGTTACAAATGTGGTACATGTGTGAAAAAGTAAAGGCCATGAGGGAGAAAATAAGAGGTGTGGGGAGACCTATTGAAATAGAGCAGACAAGAGGGATTATCGGGGAAGTGACATTAAGTGGAGCCCAGACAAGAGTCCCAGGTGGGAAAGAGCTTGGTGTGTTCAAGGGACTAAAAAGAAAGGCACAGTGGGCAAGTCAGAGGGTGGGACTAGACGACCCCACTCAGGTTGCCAGGGGCCAGACTCAGGTGTGCAAGAAATAACACTAGCTTTGTTTTTTAGAACTCAACTTCATTCTGATCACAGGCACCCACCACCACAGGGCAGGCATCCATTCGAACAGCCCACATACTAATGATAGGGTGCCCTCTGGTCATCAGCCCCCAGAGATGAGTCATCCCTATCCGTGTGTGTGAATGGCCCCTTCTCGGCCACATTTGGCCCAGGGGAATCTTTTGCAAAGATACAGACTCTTGCCCACCCCACATGCACCCCGGTCAGGATCTTGAGTGATGTGAGACCACATTGTTCTATCTGTCTATCTACCTACCTACCTATCATCTCTCTCTCTCTCTCCTTTCCCCTCAGCACTAGGAAATCCCTTTTTCTAATCTGTGGGAAGCCACTGCCCTCCTCCCCCTGTTCCTTCCAGCCACTCTTCTTCCCACAACCACAATACCATTCCCTCAATCCTCCCAAGTTCTCCAAAGGGCATTCACTCTTGGAAAACAAAACTTGCAGGCCACGTCTGCTATTGGTCCAGCTACAGAGCTCCCCTGACATGCACAAATGTAGCCCCAGCCAAGTGCCAGCTGACTTGGGAAGGGAAGGTGAAAATTAACTAATGAAGTAATATCTCGAGATAATAGCTACCCCATGAGGCTGGGGGAGGGTGGGGTCTGTGGCTTGCACTCACTTGCTCTCTCAGTAACTAGAACCCTATGCACACATATGCGTGTGCACACACACACACACACACACGCAGGTTCATGTATGCACACACACCCTTCTCCCACAGCCTTCCTGTGCAGGGTCCCAGCCTCTCATGGCTTCTCCCTTGTGCCCTCACTCCTCTCCCCTCCTCCTTCTAGAGGTTGGTACCTCCTATTATGCGGTAGCTGTGGTGAAAAGGAGCTCCAACCTGACCATCAACACCCTGAAGGGCGTGAAGTCCTGCCACACCGGCATCAACAGGACAGTGGGCTGGAACGTGCCCGTGGGCTACCTGGTGGAGAGCGGCAGCCTCTCGGTGATGGGCTGTGATGTGCTCAAAGGTGAGGGCTTCGGGGTGGGAGGTGGAGGGGTGAGGGGAAACAGAAGCTTCTCCTGCTGAGTCTCTGGGTTTCCCCTCTCCTCACCTCATCCCTGCTCGCCTCGTCACAGGGCAGACTCCCCCAGGCTCGCCTTCCTCTTGCATCTCCTTAGAAGAACAGCACAGTCCTACCTCTCCCTGGGCCTCCAGACATCTAATCGGTGTACAGCTCCTCCTGTCTTTCAGAATGGCCCACCCACTGTCGCCACCATTTTAGTTTCCCCTGAGGGCCCCTTCAAAGCCCCCGACTCTCACCCACTTACTACGATGTCCTGACACCCAGGGCCCAGCCCCCACTGGGACCTGGTGCATCACCTGGCATAGACCTGGTGCAGGTCACTAATTCCAGAAACATGTCCTCAACTTTACAGAGTCAGAAACTCTATTTCTGGACCCAGACAAGCCCCTGACTTGCACCCAGAAAGCTCACAGGTAGCCAATCAGTGACTTTCTGCTCCCTGACCCGTCATTTGAAGTGGGAATTGGGCGGTCTTGCGGACAGGACACTCTCCTGCAGAAGGGAATGGAGAGTGATCTGAATGGGGTGGCGGAGAATGAAACGCGTGGGGCAAGTCAGGTGAAGGCCAGGGGGTCCGGCTAAGAGCCCAGAGCACTTCATTCTGGTGGCCGGGGCTCTAGCCCTGCCTCTCATGCTTTGGGCTCCTTTTCCTGGTCACCTGCTGGCCACCTTGCTGGGTTGCTCTCTCCACAGAGCACACTATACAGTGCTGAGATGGCCCCTGGCACAGGACCACCACATTCTCAACTGCCCTCTTGGGATCGCACCCCCAAGAGCTTGGAGTGTTCCTAGGTAGAGTTTGGGGTGTCACCAAATCCACAGTGTGCTGCCTCCTGGTTTGCTCCACAGCTGACCAGTGCTTCTGGCAGTGGGTGCAGGATGGGGGATTTTGCAAGAAAAACAATGGTCTTTTAAAGCCCTAACTTTGCTGTCAGGTAGATGATCTGCCCTCAGATGGGTCACTCTACCTCCTTGAACTTCAGTTTCCTCATCTTGTAAAACAGGAAAATTAACAACAGTGCTGTGAGTTTAGGAAGACTGAGATAATTCACACAATGCATGGCACAGGGTATGTGCTCACCTCAGGGGGCTGAAGTTATTGTTAGTTCAACTTCCATACCTCTCGGTGGATACTTCACTGTTGTGCGGTGCATCATGTACACACATGCACAAACCTGCCTTGCACACACATGCACACACATGTACACACTGCCCCCATACCACCCAACCACGATGTAAGCCAGCACAACCCACAAAAGCCAGAAAGCCTTGTCCTCTCAGATGGTGGCCCGGTGTGGGTGGTTTATCGGTCACTTGGCACATTTATTAAATGTCTTCTCCTTGAGAGGATACAAAAAAAGATGAAGAAAGGGGGCCCACCCCAGAAGAGCTCTGTCCGGCTGGGTGATGAGCACGATGTGACTGGCAACCTGCTCATCCCGCGTAACACTGGGGTGTCCTCAGCACAGAATAAATATTTGTCAAGAGGGTGGACACGGGCCCTCAGAGCTGGCAGGGGCCTGGAAACCAGGCAGGTCCGACATCTTCACCCACGACTCCTCCCTCTCCTTCACCCCCTCCCCTCCCTGTAGTGAGCAATGTTGTCTATCAAATTCATTATATTCATTACGTAATAATTTATTTCTTTCCCCACTTTCATTGATTACCCATACTCATTTTGAAATGAAACCCTCCATGAGAACAGTATCTAGTTGATATTTAGTTGTCCTATGTGGTCATTTGGAGGTAAATGTTTTATTTTCCTGAGCCATTTTTGCTGTTGTTGTTGTTGTTAATCCTCTCTTGATATTTTTTTCCATTGCTTTTCAGAGAGAGTGGAAGGGAGGGGGAAGAGGGAGAGAGAGAGAGAGAAACATCAATGTGAGAGAGACACTTCAACTGGTTGCCTCCCTCACACACTCCACCAGGGGCAGGGAGCGAACTCAAACCCAGGTACATGCCCCTGACCGGGAATGGAACTAGTGACCCTTCAATGTGCAAGCCAACACTCTAACCACTGAGCACACCGGCCAGGGACCTGAGCCATTTTTGAACAGCAGTCACTCCCCAATGCCCACACTTTTGTGGCCCCAGTTTGGGAATCACTGATAGGATCCAGTTCCCAAGTCTTGCTCAAACTGAAGCCTGGAGGGTCCAGCCCTGCCCCTGGGGAACCCAGCCCTCAACTCCAGCCTGAGTGGCCTGAGCCCTCCCTAGGAGACAGGGGAAGGGGCCTGACCCTGCTGTTCAGCTGGCTGACCTCCCTCTTCCTCCTTCCCGCAGCCGTCAGCGAGTATTTTGGGGGCAGTTGTGTCCCTGGAGCAGGAGAGACCAGTTACTCCAAATCCCTCTGTCATCTCTGCCGGGGCAACGCTGCAGGGGAGGGGGTGTGTGACAAGAGCCCCCTGGAGAGATACTACGACTACAGTGGAGCCTTCCGGTGAGAGGGGCCTGGGAGGGGCTGGCGCTGGCTGAGCTGAGTCAGGGGTGAAGCCTGAGGTCACAAGAGCTGGGGAAAAACACCTAGGCGGGAGGGCCCTGGGGGAGTGTCAATGTCCACTGCATCACATCAAAGAGCCCTTTATTGAGTTCATGTGCCCTGGTTGATTTAAAAACACCAAACTGAAATGTGCCAGGCTGGATTTGCTCATAAGTCAACATGTTTGGTATATTTAGAGAGGTGAGGGCTCAGAGAGAAGAAAATGACAAAACGGCCTTTTGCCACTCCCATGTTCCCATTCTGGTCTCAGAGCAGCAAGGAGGGCCTTGGGAGTGGGGGTGGGGGTTGGCGGGGACCCCCTGATTCAGGCTGGCATTTTAGATGAGTTTGCTGTGGATCCAAAAGAGAGTCTAACAGCTGTCTGCCCACAAGCAAGGAACCGTGCTCTGTGGGGACTGGAATGGAAACTTTCTGAGTCCCCTGGAAATGGGGAGCCTGCTAGTACCCACGCTCCAGGCTGGGATCTGGGTAAATGCAATTTTTAGCACAGAGAAAAAAACAGTTCTCTGTCCTGTAAAACAGAGACTGTCGTCGCCCACCCCACCTCTCCTGGTGTCATCCGCCCAGTCCAGTCCCTGCTTATTTGCTGGCTATGGAGACCCAGACAGCCCCTTGGCCCTGACCTGCCTCCTTCATTGGGCAGTGGCATATAGAGAATACATAAAAGTCCTGGTCCCTTGCACTCAGGGTTTTCGTCATGGCATGAGAAGGTCTAGTCAGGACAGAGTCATCTTCAAAACCCCCTGAGCCGCAGGGCTGCTGCTGTTGCTGTAGCAGCTGCCATGGGAGTTCCTTCTCCTTTGAGGTCCCAGCTGTACAGGCTCTAACTCTACAGGTTACAAAGGATCTCTCCCCATGGGAACCACGTTCTTAGCCCCAAGTCAGAGGTGATCAGGTTAGGGAGGCTCCACAACTTGGCAAAGCCACACAGAGAGCTAGAAACCCATGGCTGCCCCCACAGCCCAGGCCAGGCCTCCAGAGGTGGAGGATGGGCAGAGGCCAAGAGGCTCAGGAAGCTCAGCCCCATCCAGTTCACGGGTTTCTCCTCTGCAGGTGCCTGGCCGAAGGGGCAGGGGATGTGGCCTTTGTGAAGCACAGCACGGTGCTGGAGAACACTGACGGTGAGTGGGAGGGACCGGCCTGGGGACCCGCTTGGGGCCTGGCCACAGGAACAGGGAAAGGAAGAGGTGGGTCTCAGCAGCGAGGTTCAAACTGCTCTGCAGGCGAGGGGGCAGGGAAACAACTCTGACCGGCCCAGATTTGTATTTGGCATTGGGTTCCGTTTCCACTTGAAGACTGGGTTCTGCTTTTCCAAAAACTTTGCAAACCTCTGCACTAACTCTCACGACAGCCCCTTCCTGGCATTTTTCTCTTAGCTGAAGAAGCCATCACTTTATCCCTGGATGAGGTATAATGTGTTGAACCATTAAATCATTGTCATTTAAATTTTTTAAAAATTTGAAATAACCAAGCTTTAGAAAATTTGCAAGAGTAATTCAAAGACCTCCCCTTTATTCTTTGCCAGGATACCAACTTTCAGCATTTGCCACAGTGAATTACTATTCTTTCTGTATGTATGTGTTCTTTCTGAACCATTTGATGGTATGTTTGCCTGCGTCACAACCCTGCAATACTTTAGTATGTGTCTCCCTGCCACAGCACGGTTATCAAACTCGGGAAATGTAACATTGACACAATACTGTTATCAGAGAAATGTGTGGATGGTCTTTTTCGTTGCTTACGATATCTTGAGAAAAAGGATTTTCTGAGGCTCACACGAGAGGATGAGTGATTTTTATTTGCGTGGAATTACATGTCTGAGTTCCCATAGTCCCATTTCCCTTAATCCAGTCCTGAAAGATGTGCAGCTGGGGATTCAGCAGAGCTAGAAGCGAAGCCTGTGTTCAGAGTTTCTGTTCCATGGTGGAGCTGGGTCCGGTGTAACATTAAGCTAGTTGCCGTTCATTAGTCCATTGTGTTTGGGCTCCACATGGCTGTGGGCCACGCGGCAAATGCAGGAGCAGAGAAGCCCTGCAAGCCAGGAGTCAACCAAGAGCAAGCGCACATGTGAGCCAAGAGAGTGAATTCCTTTGTTTGAGGAATTAAGTATCCCTAATCTTGCTGAGCTTACAAGTGGCCATGCCTACTCTGGCAATGACCTGTTCCCAGGTGTGACTGACAGGAAAGTACCTTCACTATTTCACCCAGACTTTACTGGGCATGGGTCTAAACTGCAGCTTACTGGCAAAGCTGCCAAAGAGCATGCCCATAATATTTGGCCTTCCCTTTGCTCCTTTCCAGTTTTTCATAAGTAGGTTAAATTATAACAGTATCAATACTATTATTTAATCTACAGTCCATATTTTAGATTTGTTAATTGTCCCAATCCGTGTTCTTTGTAGCAATTTTTTAAGGCCAGAACCTAATGTAGGATCACATATGGTATTTAGTTATTAGGTCTTTTCATTTTTCTTTAACTTTGAACAGTTTCTTGAATTTTTTGTTTGTTTTATTGTGACATTGGCATTTTTGAAGAGTCAGGCCAGTTATTTTATAGAATGTCGTCTAATTTGGATTTGCTTAAGGGTCACTTTTTTTAAATTGAGGTATAAGTTATATACAGCAAAAATGCTTCCTTTTTGAAGTATAGTTCTACGAGTTTTGCCAAAAACAAACAGCTGTAGCTCTGGTCGGCATGGCTTCGTGGTTAGAGCATTGGCCAGTGCACCAAAGGGTTGCAGATTCGATTCCCAGTCAGGGACAAATACCTGGGTGGCAGGTTTGATCCCCAGCCCCCTGGTTGGGGCACGTGCAGGGGGCGGCCAGTCGGTGTAGTTCTTTCACGTTGATGTTTCTCTCTCCTCTCTCTCCCTCGCTCCGTTCCACTCTCTCTGAAAATCAATGGG